ACTGCTAGCCGTGTCAAGGTACTTTTAGTAAGGATGAAGGGGTGAAGGATAGAAGGGTTAGGTAAATACAGGACTTGCCACAATACTTACCTTAAGATTATCTTTATTTGTTATGCCCATGTGATCCACTGACCACCTGTATCTAAATCACCTGGAGTGCATGTTAACATAATTTGTCCTCACGTCAGACCTAACAAACCAGAATCTTCCTGCAAATTTTGATGCACAGTACCATTTGAATTTTGAGAACCACTAATTTATGCACTATAGATGGTCTCTTTTTTTTGTTGTTCTGGTCTGCATGAACTCTTCAATGGGTTTATTACCTCATAACTTTTAGTTGCACTCCCAAATGTCAAAGGTGGTGCTTTACTTTATTAATTTATTTTGAAATACACATTAAAAACAAGACCTTTAGAAAGGGCTTTCTTCTATTATACAGTCAACACTCTACAGAATATTTTTTGTACTACTGGAAGATGCCAACACTGCTAGAAATCAGTATGGACTACTAAAGATGGGACTTATTTCAAGGCAGCAAAGTATGATAGAACAGTGACAAATACGGGGTGGGGAAGAGCAGTGGAGTGAAAAATACCGAGGTTGTAGTCCTAGCTCAATGATCTTGTGATGTAGCTCTGTGATCTTGGGTAAATATCTATCTTCTTTGATCCTCAGTCTTTTTAAATGATAAGGTGGGTTTATACTAACTCCCATCTAGAGGGTTCTATGATCATTAAATTAATCATATGCATGAAAACTTTCAAAGGACAGTAAAGCTTACACAAATGCTTTTATGCATAAATAGTGATCAACTGAATTCTAAATTCTAAATCTGCTTCGTCAGAATTATTCTATTTTCTAGCATGATTAAAGTGAGACGGAACAATAAGTTCTCTTTGGCAAATAGATTAATAAAGTATAGTGAGTGGAGAAAAGCTGTACAAGACAGGGGTAGACCAAGAGAGGAGTATCAACCAAGACTACAGAAAAGACAGCAGAGCTGTACAGAACTGGCATGAAACAGCAGTGGTGTCCTTGGGAAAACTGCAAGAAGCTCAGAAAGGGGAGTTAAACAATTTAAGAGGCTAAAGGTCTTTGTATGACAGAAAAATAGGTTGGACCTTCTTGTGAGGGTCGGAGGAACTGCTGAAGGATCTAGACATCATGGTGTAAGGCTGATAATGGAGGATTTAGAGTTAGACAAATCTGACTCAGAATTTCCACTCCATTGCAGGCTGTTTTCTTAATCCTTGAATAAGGATAATAAAAACCATGTAGTAGTTTTTGAGAGAACTAGAATGCATATAAAGTGCTTGTCATATGGAATGGGATCGAAAAATAGTAGCTACCATGATGATAATTATTATCATCGGATCATCATCATCACCATCATTGGAGACTATGATCAAGTATTGGCTTTGGAAAGATCACAAGGAGCAGGGCGGAGAATTGGATAGCAATAGAGTAGAAGAGAAAAAATGGTCTAAATTAGGGCGGTGAAGTGGGGATGGGGATGAGAAGTCCTGTAATAAATACAGCCGAGTAGTTTTAGTAATTTTTAAGTTTAGTGCAGAAATGAAATTCTTTGACTTTCAACATTATGGCAGAGAGACACTCTGAAGAGCTCTCTGGATTCAGTATAACTATGCCTGTCTTTGGTTAAAATGTACTTTTCAATGCATTTCTGAGCTTACAGAAAGTAAGGGAAATAGAAAATTCAGAAGTTGATCTACCTCCTTATAGAAATATAATGTGTAATGTATTTCAGATCAGTAGGGCAAAGATGGGCTTTTTAGTAAATGATGTTGGGATAACTGGATAATCATTTGGAAAAATAAAATTAGATCCGTTCCTCACACTATATACAATTTTGTCTGCCCTTCAGAGTTTACATTCTAATGGAGGGTGAGGGAGACAAATGAAGCAAATAAACAAATTACATACCACAATAAAAGTGATAAATGCTGGGAGAAAGGACTATATAGAAGGGAAAAGAAAGAGAAGAAATAAGGTTCAGAGTTTGCAACTACAGTATCTAAAAATGGGAGGAGAGAAAGCCTCATTGAGATGACTAGTGGATTTGAGCAAAGACTTGAAGGAAAAGGGAACAATCCATGTGTATAAACTTAATTCCAAACTAGATAAGGTCAGTTCAGATAAGGGAAAAATTACAAGTCAATGTCAGTCATGAAAATGAACACAAGATGCTGAAAAACCAAACACAACAATGTGCTTGAAAGTTAATATGCACATTGTGATCGACTCAGATTTATCAAAAGAATATAAGTTTGGTTTAAGATTAGAAAAACATAAATCTTATTCACCACATTAACAAATTAAATGA